TGCTCGCGGCTAGGAGGCAACTATTATGAGAAAGTTGGTTGTCTGTTGTAATATCTGCGTCTGTCTAGATTTACTCTTCCCCCTCTCCCACTCGCGCAACTCATAAATATTGATTGAAAAGGTGCGCGCCATCTGGCCATCTGGCCCTTTGGCATCGGCCAAAGTTTGCCCTTCCTTTCCATTTATGGCTAAAACAAAATGTACCCATAATTTGCACACACTTATTCATTGGCAACAGGCAACATAAAAGCCACTCAATAAGTTCTTAGGCTCGTCAACAGGTTGTTGTGGCTTTTTGGTGTGGCTAGTCGCCCACCCTCTATTCTGAAGCAATAGTATATATGTATATATAATTATTGGCTCATTAGACCGTCTCAACTTCTGTGAAGTACAAAAGTATTTCACTTTCATTCGCCAATTCATCAGTACCCCGAAAAGTTGAAGCACTTAGCCATCTTTTGATTAGGCCAAAAGCTAGGCTAGCATTTATATTTTTGTTTTAATGCTAGAGCTATTGAATTTTAAATAGCAATGTTATAGTTCAAGAATAAGTTTTAATTTCAATTAAGGTAGTTGGTAACTACATATTTTTATACCCTGTACCCGTAGGGTAAAAAGGGTATATTAGGTTTGTGCAAAGTATGTAACATACAGAAGGAAGCATCTCCGACCCCATAAAGTATATATATTCTTGATAAGCATGACGAGAGAAATCGATCTAGACATGTCCGTCCGTCTGTCCGTCTGTCCGTCCGTCTGTCCGTCCGTCTGTCCGTCTGGATGAACGCGAGGATCTCAGAAACTATAAAAGCTGGAATAACCAAAGTTGGCATCCAGATTCTCCTAGGTCCGAGTAAGGACGAGTTTATTTTTTTTTTTTAATTTTCCCCCCCTTCCCCCGCTGCAGAATTTCGTCAATAGCGTCCACATTTCAAATGCTACCTAAACCAAACTTTGCACACAAAATTTATATATAATTGTCTACTGTTGTTCAAAATTTTATTCAATTCGGTCAATTCTAAGAAAAGTTATTAGCGAAACAAATTCTCGACAGTACAACCCCTCCAAACTGCAGCAACAAGTTCGCTCTTCTTCTTCCTCTTTTTGCTGCTGCTATGGGCGCATATAACTCAGTGACGGAAGTTTACCTGGGTACAGGGTATTACACTGTCGGGCTTGCTCGACTGTAGCGTTCTCTCTTGTTATACCCTGTACCCGTAGGGTAAAAAGGGTATATTAGGTTTGTGCAAAGTATGTAACATACAGAAGGAAGCATCTCCGATCCCATAAAGTATATATATTCTGAATCAGCATGACGAGAGAAATCGATCTAGACATGTCCGTCCGTCTGTCCGTCCGTCTGGATGAACGCGAGGATCTCAGAAACTATAAAAGCTAGAATAACCAAAGTTGGCATCCAGATTCTCCTAGGTCCGAGTAAGGACGAGTTTATGTTTTTTTTTTTAATTTTCCCCCCCTGTCCCCGCTACAGAATTTCGTCAATAGCGTCCACATTTCAAATGCTACCTAAACCAAACTTTGCACACATAATTAATATATAATTGTCTATTGTTGTGTAAAATTTTATTCAATTCGGTCAATTCTAAGAAAAGTTATTAGCAAAACAAATTCTCCCCAGTACAACCCCCCCAAACTGCAGCAACAAGTTCGCTCTTCTTCTTCCTCTTTTTGCTGCAGCTATGGGCGCATATAACTCAGTGACGGAAGTTTTCCTGGGTACAGGGTAATACACTGTCGGGCTTGCTCGACTGTAGCGTTCTCTCTTGTTTTTAATTGTAATTGCATCGACACTCAAGCCCCATTTGATTTGTGTTATTTTGTTGCAATTTTAAACTTCAAGCTGATAAATGCACTTATACAGATGGACGACAGGCGGACCGACGGACATGTTGATACTTTGTGGGTATACTTTGTGGGGTTTATTTGGGTACAAGGCATAAAAACAAACTGCATCAGAAAATTCCGATCTTTAATTATTCACCAAAACTATATTTGAAATGTCTTAGCATTTTTTTGGAGGTCTTTAAATATTGTGACCATAAAAATTATATTTTCTATAATTGAGTTAGTTTTAGGCATAAAGAACTTATACTTTGTTATAATAATACTCTACCCATCAATTCTGCTTTCAAAAGCATTACAAGAAACTTACAATTCCACTGAAACAGAAAAAATGGGCAGCTTGCAGCTCAGAGTATATTCACGATTTTTGATTTATCAAAAATATGAGTTTTAAAGTTCTTCTATTCATGCTCAATTTTTGTTTTGGGAAAAACTATAACTTGTAATATTAACAAGTAGAGTATATACTATATTATATATCATTCTAAGCTAAAAAAAAGTACATTTTTGGAGCTGCAATTCTCGCCTCTTTGTGACTGTGTGACTTTTATTTGTTTGTTGAAAATGTATAACGCTGGTGAAAAAAACTCGAATCGTATTGTCACTTGCAATAGAAGTATAGAAAGAATATATTCGCGCTTTATTATTACATAATTTTAAAACAACAAGGTATTTTCAAAAATATATTAAATGCGTACCTCGTGAACGACTCAACTGAATGTGTTTATTAGCGAAGTGCTCTACTTAATATTAAGGCAACTTAGTATTAGGGGAATGCCCAGTATTATTTTGGAGTTCAAATAGTTAATGGTTTGTTTGATAACAAAATCACAAAATGAATTACAAATCAAATTTAAAAGTGTAATTTAAGTTAAGATTTAAACGATGTCTGATTTATTCTGAAATCATGTTAGAAATCGTAACTTAATCTCCTTCTCTTGATTAAAACTTGTGTCGACATATAACTCAGAAATTAAAACAAAAACTCTTCAAATACAATTTCCCATGATTGGTCAAAGACCAGTGTGGCTCCCGTTCCGATTTTCTAATCAACTACTATATTCCTGTGCCGTTTCACCCTCAATCAAGCATATCAATGGCGAGGAATAGAGTCTAATTTTTTAAAACCCGCAAGCCATCGCACTTTCTAAAAGAAACTTCACCTACTTTTTGTTTAACAAAATCTAGAATTTAGATACATTCATATGTATGTATGTACAATTGTTTGTGAAATAAATGAACCGTAAGGTTTTCAGCCCTTGTAGCTAATATTCTAATCCTTACGTTTATTATTGTACAAGTATAATACTATACATTGAGCTAAATAAATAACTTAATCTAAAAGAAAGAGTAAAAAATGTTTTAATATCCTTGAATATAAAGAAGATCACTGGAATCTAAAAAGCTATTCATTCCGATTGAAACACCGCCGAAGAGTTTGGTGTAATACCGACATGTCATATTTGTGGGTTTCCCCGAAAACTACAAAACCAAAATAAATATCATTCGACCAAATCGAAAACTGCTTTGAGGAATCTGCTAAATGACCGACCCAGTTTAACTTGGCGGACTTAATATTAGGAGGTTGAAATTCGAAGGGGCAACTAATATGTCAGTTCCTTCAACATTTAAATATAAAGCCATAGCGGGCTTAAAGTTCTATGCTATGGTAAAAGACATGTGGTGGCTGTGATCCTTCGCATTCTTTCGAAAATTTCAAATACATACTTCTCACTATACGTGTAAATGGTGAATGGAGAAGGCTGCAAGGTTAGCATTCGGAAAGTATCCAAAATATTCAGGAAATGCCTTTCTATGCTGGACCATATAGCCGACGCAACTAATAGTTAACACTATGCTTGCATCAAAATTTATTTAGTGCAAATAGTTTCACATGAAGGAAATATAACTCGAAAGAAAGAATGCCTCTGTTTATGAAGCAACAAAATAAATGGTTATACTAAGAGTATATGAATGACATTCTTTTTATTTATTGTTTTTATTATTTGTTATGTTCCGAGTCGGCCTGCAGCTTTGGCAGTTTGACATTAATTACAAGATTTATAATATTGATTATATATTTATACAGAATTGAAGACTGCAAGTATTTTTTGGAATTTAAATCATCTTTCTGCGAAGATGGTAGCACCGTGCTTCTAACCGAAACCTACATTGAAACAAACTCAAAATGTGGGATTCTTGCTAACTCGTTGAGCTACGCCAGGCACAACAAACAAAAATTATGAAAAAAAAGTTTTCTAATTTTAGTTCGATTTTAGTAAATGTGGATTTCCTCTTGCAAATTATAATACGATTTGCACAGTTAAATAGTGTAAATGTTTTCAAAATACGAAATCAAATTCTGCTACTTCTATTGTGGTTTTTAGCATCTTATGTCCGTAAATTATGTTTCAAATAGGGTTTAATAGAAAGTTTGTGTAATAAAATTGTTTAAAAAAAGGGATGCATTTTAAATCATTAGCAAATTAAGGATATATTGAAAATCTTTCTTCTCATTGAATAACAATTAATTTGTTTCAAAATATTTAAAATCGGTTTAATGCGTTAGAAGTTTTCACCAAATACAAGTACATATAAAAGCTTTCAATTTTGTTTCTTTAATAATTATATTCTTCAGCTGTGCAACAAATGGATGAAGTAGCCTTCAAAATTCTTAATCAATTTTGAAAGTAACTAATAATTCAAATTTTCTACAGATATTTTTCCCTTTTTTTGTGAGCATTTGATTAATTTTTATAAAAATGTAAACTTGGGAAACTAGTTTGAATTGTTCATGATTAAAGCTGCTGCTTTGTTAAATTATGTTGATAAAAATGCTTAGCTTTTAAGCTAACTTTCTTTTCATTTATAAATAGTATTTTAAACAGTCACAAATTGAAAAATGCAGATAAAAAGATCTAACTGTAAAACGTCGAAATAGTATCAAACAAAAGATTTAAAATAAATACGTTTAACTTTTTTTAGTGAGCAATTTTTCAAGAAATTTTAAAAAGGATTTGCATTAATTATTCTGTTCACTTTTAATTGTAATTATTAGACATTTTTAAATATGTAGAACCACACAACGAGGTTAAGTTGATGCATTTTTTTAGAAAATTTTCTTGCATTTAACTCACATTTACTTTGAGTTTTATAACAACACAGCACTTTGATGCGATTGGCCGATTGCTTGGCTGATGCCACAGGTAGTGCCACAAGTAACTGCTCCCTAGCACGAACGTTTGTTGATACTTTGTGGGTATACTTTGTGGGGTTTATTTGGGTACAAGGCATAAAAACAAACTGCATCAGAAAATTCCGATCTTTAATTATTCACCAAAACTATATTTGAAATGTCTTAGCATTTTTTTGGAGGTCTTTAAATATTGTGACCATAAAAATTATATTTTCTATAATTGAGTTAGTTTTAGGCATAAAGAACTTATACTTTGTTATAATAATACTCTACCCATCAATTCTGCTTTCAAAAGCAGTGCAAGAAACTTACAATTCCACTGAAACAGAAAAAATGGGCAGCTTGCAGCTCAGAGTATATTCACGATTTTTGATTTATCAAAAATATGAGTTTTAAAGTTCTTCTATTCATGCTCAATTTTTGTTTTGGGAAAAACTATAACTTGTAATATTAACAAGTAGAGTATATACTATATTATATATCATTCTAAGCTAAAAAAAAGTACATTTTTGGAGCTGCAATTCTCGCCTCTTTGTGACTGTGTGACTTTTATTTGTTTGTTGAAAATGTATAACGCTGGTGAAAAAAACTCGAATCGTATTGTCACTTGCAATAGAAGTATAGAAAGAATATATTCGCGCTTTATTATTACATAATTTTAAAACAACAAGGTATTTTCAAAAATATATTAAATGCGTACCTCGTGAACGACTCAACTGAATGTGTTTATTAGCGAAGTGCTCTACTTAATATTAAGGCAACTTAGTATTAGGGGAATGCCCAGTATTATTTTGGAGTTCAAATAGTTAATGGTTTGTTTGATAACAAAATCACAAAATGAATTACAAATCAAATTTAAAAGTGTAATTTAAGTTAAGATTTAAACGATGTCTGATTTATTCTGAAATCATGTTAGAAATCGTAACTTAATCTCCTTCTCTTGATTAAAACTTGTGTCGACATATAACTCAGAAATTAAAACAAAAACTCTTCAAATACAATTTCCCATGATTGGTCAAAGACCAGTGTGGCTCCCGTTCCGATTTTCTAATCAACTACTATATTCCTGTGCCGTTTCACCCTCAATCAAGCATATCATTGGCGAGGAATAGAGTCTAATTTTTTAAAACCCGCAAGCCATCGCACTTTCTAAAAGAAACTTCACCTACTTTTTGTTTAACAAAATCTAGAATTTAGATACATTCATATGTATGTATGTACAATTGTTTGTGAAATAAATGAACCGTAAGGTTTTCAGCCCTTGTAGCTAATATTCTAATCCTTACGTTTATTATTGTACAAGTATAATACTATACATTGAGCTAAATAAATAACTTAATCTAAAAGAAAGAGTAAAAAATGTTTTAATATCCTTGAATATAAAGAAGATCACTGGAATCTAAAAAGCTATTCATTCCGATTGAAACACCGCCGAAGAGTTTGGTGTAATACCGACATGTCATATTTGTGGGTTTCCCCGAAAACTACAAAACCAAAATAAATATCATTCGACCAAATCGAAAACTGCTTTGAGGAATCTGCTAAATGACCGACCCAGTTTAACTTGGCGGACTTAATATTAGGAGGTTGAAATTCGAAGGGGCAACTAATATGTCAGTTCCTTCAACATTTAAATATAAAGCCATAGCGGGCTTAAAGTTCTATGCTATGGTAAAAGACATGTGGTGGCTGTGATCCTTCGCATTCTTTCGAAAATTTCAAATACATACTTCTCACTATACGTGTAAATGGTGAATGGAGAAGGCTGCAAGGTTAGCATTCGGAAAGTATCCAAAATATTCAGGAAATGCCTTTCTATGCTGGACCATATAGCCGACGCAACTAATAGTTAACACTATGCTTGCATCAAAATTTATTTAGTGCAAATAGTTTCACATGAAGGAAATATAACTCGAAAGAAAGAATGCCTCTGTTTATGAAGCAACAAAATAAATGGTTATACTAAGAGTATATGAATGACATTCTTTTTATTTATTGTTTTTATTATTTGTTATGTTCCGAGTCGGCCTGCAGCTTTGGCAGTTTGACATTAATTACAAGATTTATAATATTGATTATATATTTATACAGAATTGAAGACTGCAAGTATTTTTTGGAATTTAAATCATCTTTCTGCGAAGATGGTAGCACCGTGCTTCTAACCGAAACCTACATTGAAACAAACTCAAAATGTGGGATTCTTGCTAACTCGTTGAGCTACGCCAGGCACAACAAACAAAAATTATGAAAAAAAAGTTTTCTAATTTTAGTTCGATTTTAGTAAATGTGGATTTCCTCTTGCAAATTATAATACGATTTGCACAGTTAAATAGTGTAAATGTTTTCAAAATACGAAATCAAATTCTGCTACTTCTATTGTGGTTTTTAGCATCTTATGTCCGTAAATTATGTTTCAAATAGGGTTTAATAGAAAGTTTGTGTAATAAAATTGTTTAAAAAAAGGGATGCATTTTAAATCATTAGCAAATTAAGGATATATTGAAAATCTTTCTTCTCATTGAATAACAATTAATTTGTTTCAAAATATTTAAAATCGGTTTAATGCGTTAGAAGTTTTCACCAAATACAAGTACATATAAAAGCTTTCAATTTTGTTTCTTTAATAATTATATTCTTCAGCTGTGCAACAAATGGATGAAGTAGCCTTCAAAATTCTTAATCAATTTTGAAAGTAACTAATAATTCAAATTTTCTACAGATATTTTTCCCTTTTTTTGTGAGCATTTGATTAATTTTTATAAAAATGTAAACTTGGGAAACTAGTTTGAATTGTTCATGATTAAAGCTGCTGCTTTGTTAAATTATGTTGATAAAAATGCTTAGCTTTTAAGCTAACTTTCTTTTCATTTATAAATAGTATTTTAAACAGTCACAAATTGAAAAATGCAGATAAAAAGATCTAACTGTAAAACGTCGAAATAGTATCAAACAAAAGATTTAAAATAAATACGTTTAACTTTTTTTAGTGAGCAATTTTTCAAGAAATTTTAAAAAGGATTTGCATTAATTATTCTGTTCACTTTTAATTGTAATTATTAGACATTTTTAAATATGTAGAACCACACAACGAGGTTAAGTTGATGCATTTTTTTAGAAAATTTTCTTGCATTTAACTCACATTTACTTTGAGTTTTATAACAACACAGCACTTTGATGCGATTGGCCGATTGCTTGGCTGATGCCACAGGTAGTGCCACAAGTAACTGCTCCCTAGCACGAACGTTTGCAATGAACTCTACCGAAGTGAATGAGCGCTCGTCCTTTGGCCGCCTTGGCTTTTATATCTAACAGAGTTGCCATGTGTGTGTGTACGTTGGTATGCGTCCAAATAGGTGCGAGTGTGTGTGTGTGTGTGTGTGTTTGCTTGTGTGCGTCGATATGTAGGTGTAAGATAACACGGTGCGTATGAGCGATGCGCACCACCAGTCGCGTCGCGTTAGCAGGTGACTTTTGTTGTTGTCGTCGCTGTTGCGCTATGTTGCGGTTGCTTTTGTTGGCTTTTCCCGCTGGCTTAAGAATGTCCGCAACATGTTGCAAGTAAAAATGTGAGCGCGCAAATCTCAAAAAGCCGTCGGACCTCACTCATGCATAATGCAAGACATAGCCATTAGAGCCTTTAGCAAGCGGCGGTACGTAGGTTATGTCTTTCGGATACCCTTCCTACGCCGTTTTAGTCACCGGCAAAATGTTTTAAAATGTTTATTGTTTTAGGAAAATATATATATATTTTTTTTTAGAAATATTCGTCTAATTAGAGGAAATTCTTCTTTTATTGCGATTTATGTTGGTAATTAGGAAACAATATAATTTTTAAGAATACATATCTATGTATTTACGTTGATCTAAGAAAAATTAGCACTGGTATTCAGAAAACATTTCTCTTATAGGCATCAAATTTATGAACCATATATATATACTATTCAATATTATATTGAATTTTTATATTATAATTATGTTGGAAGAATACTGTTTAGCGAGATAAAATACTCAAGTTGTAAAGATTTAATAATTTAAAAAAATATATAATATAACATTAATATAGAATATAATTTATTTAATATTAATAATATTCCCTGGTATAGAAGAAAATATATTTTGTTTTATTTTTATATCATTAAAAAATACTATATGTTTTATAATTTTTTTTTTTTGGTAATAAGAAAGCCATTAATTGTATAAACGAAAAAAATACTTGTCATTTAAAATACTTATTAATATCATTTATTTATATTTTTCTTTTATTCAGAAGCCTTTTTTATTTTCTTGAAATAATCTTGCTGTTTTGACTTGTTTTATGATTCTAGTTTCGCTTGCACATCCCTTGGGGTGGACTAACTATTCCTTCTAAATGAGATAATGATAATGAAATATTAAAGTATATTGGTCGGAGTTAATAGAAAGTAACAAACGTGAAATCATGTTGATACTTCTGAAAAAAGGATGGTTTTAATGTACATATTTGTAATTTTTTCTGGTAATTCATTGAAGTTTAACAAAAATAATCATTATTTTGTCCTGAAACAGTGACCTTCATTTCGATTGGCTTAAAAATAAGTAAACAAGAGGGACAATGCCTGTGTCTGCCCCATTGCATTCAATTGTGAAATGATAAACATTTATCCTAATCCAGTTAAGTGCTTTTATGTTGTTATCTAATCGCCGGCCAGCTGTGATGAGACAATTTTGGAGTACATTTATGCTGGCACACTCAAGTGTCAATTAGAAACTAACAACAAAAGCCCATTCAACGATCGGCAATAAACTCAGAAATTGATAACAATCCAATGTAAAGTACATATAGTACATACATATGTATGTATGTATACCCATGCCGCCATTCTGAGAAGCTGATTAAGTTGAGGCGAAACTTTACCGTGACTAATTGCACATATGGAAAAATGATTGTGCGTAAATAGCAAAAGGACACACATACATACTTCTATGGACATTGTGCAATGTCCCAACAAAGTCAACAATAAACAAAGTTAGTGAAACAATTATAAAGTCTTAAAAAGTCTCTCCGAACTCTACCTCCGAGCACGGACGACGTTTCAGCATCATATGCACGAGGTCGAGAATGCAACCCCATGCCTCATTTCTTCACAGCTCAGATGACAGGCGAGCGAGGATACTGACGATGAGGTGTCCGCGACGGCAACAGTCAGCGGACATTTGTGTGTGTGTGTGTGTGGGAAAGTTTACATTGGATTCGAGAGTTGGCGTTGCTATTAGCGGCCCACTTTGTGGCATCATTTAATTAGTTCGGGTAATTTCGTTCATCACTTTACGATATCTGCGTATTTATTTTTCCCGTTCTTGTCAATGAACGATTTTACGTCAATGGGCAATAATAACAAGAGAGAACGCTACAGTCGAGCAAGCCCGACAGTGTAATACCCTGTACCCAGGTAAACTTCCGTCACTGAGTTATATGCACCCATAGCAGCAGAAAAAAGAGGAAGAAGAAGAGCGAACTTGTTGCTGCAGTTTTGTTCGCTAATAACTTTTCTTAGAATTGACCGAATTGAATAAAATTTTGAACAACAGTAGACAATTATATATAAATTATGTGTGCAGAGTTTGGTTTAGGTAGCATTTGAAATGTGGACGCTATTGACGAAATTCTGTAGCATGGGAAGGGGGGGAAAATTTAAAAAAAAAAAATAAACTCGTCCTTACTCGGACCTAGGAGAATCTGGATGCCAACTTTGGTTATTCTAGCTTTTATAGTTTCTGAGATCCTCGCGTTCATCCAGACGGACGGACAGACGGACGGACAGACGGACAGACGGACGGACATGTCTAGATCGATTTCTCTCGTCATGCTGATCAAGAATATATATACTTTATGGGGTCGGAGATGCTTCCTTCTGTATGTTACATACTTTGCACAAACCTAATATACCCTTTTTACCCTACGGGTACAGGGTATAAAAAGCGTCATGGCACAATACGCCGATTCAAAATATGAACATGAGTGTGGATATTGAAAGGAATTCTAAGGCTATGAAACAACAATTTATTGAAATTTAGAATAGAGATTTTAAATTAAATATGATACAAAATATGAACATGAACATGAGTATGGATATTGAAAGGAACTCTAAGGCTATTGCACAACAATTTATTGAAATTTAGAATAGAGATTTTAAATTAAATATGATACAAAATATGAACATGAACATGAGTATGGATATTGAAAGGAACTATAAGGCTATTGCACAACAATTTATTGAAATTTAGAATAGAGATTTTAAATTACATATGATACAAAATATGAACATGAGTGTGGATATTGAAAGGAATTCTATGGAAAGAGTTTTTATATTAAATTCGCAATAAACCAATTTTAAATTATAAAGTCCTGCTATAAAAAACTCTGTCCCAAATTTACTTCTGAAAGACTAATTTACAAAACAGTCTAAAAGCTAAAGCCGGATACTCCGACTTTAAAATACTCTGTACATATGTGTGAATTAATCAAAAATTCTACAACAAAAATTTAAAAAAAATTGTGATTTAAACAAGAGAGAACGCTGCAGTCGAGCAAACGCGACAGTGAAATACCCTGTACCCAGATGAACTGCCGACACTGAGTTATATGCGCCTCTAGCAGAAGCAAAAAGAGGAAGAAAAGCGAACTTGAGGCTGCAATTTGTGGGCGTAGTACTGTAGTGAAATTGTTTCGCTAATAACTTTACTTAGAACTTACCGATTTAGATGACATTTGGGGAAAATTAAAAAAAATAAAATAAACTCGTCGTTCTCGGACCTAGGAGAATCTGGATACTATCTTTGGTTATTCTAGCTTTTATAGTTTCTGAGATCCTTGCGTTCATCCAGACGGACGGACGGACATGTCTAGATCGATTTCTCTCTTCATGCTGATTCAGAATATATATACTTTATGGGGTCGGAGATGCTTCCTTCTGCATGTTACATACTTTGCACAAGCCTAATATACCCTTTTTACCCTGCGGGTACAGGGTATAATAAAAATATATGATCTATTATTATACCTTCTCCGGGATTCATATACATATTACACATACATGTATGTACATATATCAGATTTGCACCGGCATTGTTTCTATGTGTAGTTATCTGTGAGTTTGGGTTGGTCAAAAACAGCAACAACAACACCAGCTGCTGGCAGAGATTGGGCAGAGATTACATTTATGGCTATAACTTTCTTTCCAGTTGATCTATCACGGTGAAACTCGGCATACCAACACATAAGCACTTGCCGGAAGTAGTTTGATTGGAAATATCCAGGAATAACGGGAGTTATGAAGATGGTGGAGAGATGCAATGAGAAGGGGAGCAGGGGTGCATCAGAAAAAATAAACCTAGTCATTCGCCGGATGAAATCAGTAACCTCTTGTGGGCACCTATCACCTGTCGAGGATTTATATCATAACTCGCACATAGCAGGAACAAAAAGTGACCCGTTACTGCAGTTTAGGAAGTAGTACTGGCGTAAAACAATTAGGTTAAGACTTTTAGTAGAATAAACCGATTTCTATAATCAATGTTATGGAAAATCGCTTATAGCGAAGGAATTAACCTTTGAAGATAAAACTTAACACGAGGGCACTTGATTGCTAACTGGATGTTAAAATTCAAAAAATTACGGGAGACGGCCTAAACAATACTTTTAGCGGGGGAGTGGAGGAACAAACAAAAACTTTGAATAACAAGTTTACTTGTTCATATAAAAAGAGAATCGATATAAAAAGAGAATCGCAGCATCTGGTTAATTTTCCAAACTGACTCGACGACTCGTAAACAATGATTAGGGTCGATGCAATTTGGTGAAGCTTCAGCTATTTGCAAATATTTTGTCCTTTTTTCTCTCCTTAAATAGTCAATGTTCCATTTCTACGGATTTTAACACATCCTTTAGTTACATTAAATAAAATAAATAATTAAAGGTTTTCATACAGTTTTGTATTTTTTTTCCCATAAGGTATATCATTCTTTGTCATATACTTACTATAGTACATATCTACATATGCATTGGTTGTTGTACTTCAAATACTTGTCAACTTATCTAAATTTCAATCAACACTAACTTTAACCTTCAACTTAACATAGGTAAGGAACAGCCGTTGGTAAATCGTTTGGGGATTTTTTTTTCTTTTATGAGACTCGAATCGAATTACTTGGCGTTGCCGCCACGTTTGAGAAAATTAATGCCAGCCATGGTTTTTTCAAGAGCCACATTTATGTCCGGCACATGAGCCAGCAACGTGTTGTAGATCAAAAGCAAGCAACGAGCATCCATGGCTGTTCATAAAATAATATTTGAAGATTAATTAAATACATTGCATATCTGGATTAGACCTACCTGCGTAGAGTATCTGTTCATGCCGTAATGGTCTGTTCGCCCAATTCGAGCATTGATTGGACTTGTTTAGCTTCTTGCCAAAACACAGCATAGTAAGATCTGTAAGTGCGTCTCCAGCTCGACACGTATTGCCATAAGGCAGATCGACTCCATATGGTCGCCTTTTTAAGTGCTGCCAGAGAACACGCAAATCCAAATAATGATTGGGCGTGTGCAATCGTAGCTGCAAGGGCAGCGATTGTTGCAAAACCATTATATCGGTGTGCAGCGAAAATCCAACCTTTATTATGTTTACATTATTGAAAATTGCGCCCAGCGCTCGCCAATTTTCAGCGGGCTGGGGAGCCAGACAATCGATAAGGTACACATATTCCTCTGCGGCGATTTGCATTAAACAGAGCTGGTTATCAACACATACGTTCTGCTTCCACTCAGCATCCATGTAAATGATACGTTCGCGATTTAAGTGGAAGATCATTGTTTCAAATTTTATAGGATCATCTACGATGATAAGAGATTCGTGCGGCAGATCCATAGTTAGGTACGTATCTGATGGGCTATCACCGTCACCGCCTCTGTCGTTTTGTACTTCATCAATTTCGTTACGGGAGATCATGGATTTAATTTCATTGGGGCAATCGCATGGTTTGAGTTTAAATTTCTTGTACCAATAAAGGGCCTCACTGTGGGCCTGAGTTGCAGCTATATAGTTAACTAAATCTTTTTTCAGTGCGTGATTGTATGCATTTTCAAGAACAAGTTCCCGATATGCCTCCAGGCCTATATTCGCCTTTTCATATTCACGGTACAGATGATGCAAGTAACCGCATGTTTTTGTAAACTTCAAGTTGGGAGTGATCGAGTCACCGAAATTATACTTTTTAGCTAGACGACCGACTATTTTCGATATGGGTCGATAGGTGAGTACGTGATGTGAGACCTTTAGGTTCTTGTAGTTACTACAACCAAGAAAGAGTTAGTATATAAGGGAATGTAACGGAGTGCGCCTACTCACCTCAATCTGGACTCGCACAATTCTATTACTGGCTTATCTTTGTGTAGCAACGAGTCAAGGTACTGGACAAAGGGCAGACGTTGATGTGTTGCCTTATCTAAGTACTCTTCGGCCAGCGGCAGCTTCTCTTGCGCTACCAATGGAAAGGCTAGTTCCATCATATCAAAAGCATGCGATAAGTGCAAGTTTATGGCCCATTGAGTAACCTCTTTGTAGTATCCCTCATCCAGAAGCGCGCGCAATTTCGGCAACAAAAGTGCGCTTATCTGTTGCAAGCGGTAGGTAGAAATCATAGCATTGTTAAGCGAAAGCAAACCAGTCGTCTTCACAAAGTTAAATGCTATCATGCTTGTATTATCATCACAATTCTCGTTAATGTGCGGTACCTCCGCATGCAGTTTGCACACCGTGTCCAGCACGAAATGCGACAAGCTTTTATTCTTTACGTTGCTACTATCCGGACAGTTGGCAAACAACATTAGGGCCAAAACCAAAGGATTCTCGTGACGCAATAACGCTGCACGTAAGTCCTGCCGAAGGTACGGCGATTTGTTTTTCGTCTGCATATTCCAATTTTCGCGGAACGTATTGAAGAATTGCTGACACTCCATGTCTAGTGTTGCGTCGAAGTTCCGCCCATCTAGGCCGGCACCTGTAAGTTTTAGCCAAACATGAAAAAATGCAAGCCGCATGGTGTCAGACTTTGCTGTAAAGTGCAACGCACCTGTTGTAATATGTTCGAGTCGTTTGATTTTAAGGTTGCCCATTAAGAAATCAATTTCCTCCTCGTCGGATTCGAAGCCGGCCGGAAAGGCATTTAGCGTTTTGGCCATAATTTTAACCAAAATGCAAAAGAAAAACTTTGCGCTGTCTCCAAACAACAACAAAAACGGTGCCAACAGTAGCGAATTCTGCACATAGATCAAAATCAATCTGGCAGCACTGTCTATTTTTTCCTCTAGACGCCGTTTTTGCGACTTTGCAGCCCAAATTTTGGTAGCGCTCAACACTACCTTCGTGAACAGTACGGAATAACCTAATATACCAGAAAGGAGTCTTTTAAAAAAGTCCACATATATGTAAGTTGCTCCGCAAGTATTCAAATGTATACTGATTACTTCTATTTGTTCCTATGATTTTTCTTGTTATACAGCGCTGCCAGAGTATGAAATATATTTGTACCCAAATATTACCGAGTATCGTGCAAACGCCGACTTAGTACGCCTTTGTGGCATCGCAACAAATATAGTCGGCACGGCACGATATAAAATATTTTGCGAAAAAGAGTAATTCATTGAAAAAGTCAAATATACGCAATAACAAATTGCACATATAGAAAAAGGCATATTTGTCCATGCGACTGGATATGTGAAAAGTGTGTAATTTGTTTGAGGTTCGTAAATTATTCGTTTTACTTCCGCGTTTTTTTCGCATACGAGAGGCGTGGGGTTTACACATACACACAAACAGAGACGCGACCGCAAATAGCGTGAAAAAATTCAATCAGTTCAGTCGTTGAGGAGTTTTCGGTCAAGACAACTATAATAAATTGTTATAAGGGAATTCCTAATTACTTTTAACTTGTTCTAGACAGTAAAAACGAATCAAAGCAGCACGGGCCTGTGGCTTCCTTTTTGCCGGTGGCGCGAAAAGTACACTTGCGTGCAAAGGAGAACTCTAAACACGCGTGCGTTGGTAACGCAGCCGCATCGATTTTCCACACTGGGCCTCGTCGCTAAAGCGTTTGTAGTTGGCACTTGAATCGGTAATTGCTGGATCGTGTTGCGGGTAATTCGAGATCATGGGTGCTTATCTGTCGCATCCAAAGACGGACAAGGCGTCCTCAGACGAATTTAACGATTTGCTCGCTGTAGGTGCCAGCTCTATGCAGGGCTGGCGTAACAGCCAAGAGGTGAGCGAATTTTTTTTGGGAAAAATATAGTGTCATAAAAACAGATTTTATTTCCATTCCGCAGGATGCACACAATGCCATTTTGAATTACGATAAAAGCACGTCGTTTTTTGCGGTCTACGATGGTCATGGAGGTGCTGAAGTGGCGCAATATTGCGCGGATAAATTGCCAGAATTTCTGAAGCAATTGGAAACATATAAAAATGGAGCTTTAGAACAGGCTCTGAAAGACGCCTTTCTGGGATTTGACAAAAAACTGCTTGACCCATCGGTAGTTACTATACTGAAAATATTGGCTGGAGAACACAATTTTGCTGATGGAGAAGATGCTGAAGGGTATGATGAAGACGACGAAGAAGATCTGGCAGAGTTGCATGAAGAAAGCCATTTGCCATTGAATCAGGTGCTGGAGAAATATGAGGGATTGCCACAAACGCATGATATGGCCAAGATAAAGGCGGAGGCAGCAGCGAATTCCAAGCCCCAGTCGCCCTTTTTGCGGGGGCGCCGTGCCGCCGCCGTGGCCGCGGAGGCTGCTAATAAAGCTGTCATGGATCCAACAGCTAAGCCAGAAGGATCATCCACCTCTGCTGCAGCTGCTGCCGCTGCAGCCGCATTTTCCGAAGTTGACGGTTCTGGCCCAAGCTCTTCTAAGCTGCCAAAGCTGGAGCCAGAAGATGAATCGACCGTGAGCAGCAGCAGCTCTTCAAGTGCTACCAAGAGCTCCACAAGCACCAGTAGCAGCGATGTTACTGAGTCTGATACTTCCAAAGCCGGGGCAACCAATGGAGCTGCCGCTGTAGTTACAGGCAAGACAACTACCCCCACTGAACAGAATGGCAGTGTAACTTCTTCAGAAGCAAAGGCCGTCGTCAAAGCTGGAAAAGACAACGCCACCGTCTCGGACGAAGCTACTGTGTCTGGTTCTAGTGACGTTGAAACCAAGCAAAACGGCATGGTTGGAAGTTCGACGTCTGCAGCGCCCAAAATTGGTCCTGCCGATATTACATCAACTAGCAAGGAGTCAAAAACCAAAGCTGCCGAAGACGATTCCTCCACCGACGATGATGCCGATTACGATGAGAATGCTGTAGGGGACTCTCACAAAGTCGTTGCTGGTTACTATTCCGGTGATGATATGGAAGAAGACGATGATGAGGACGATGATGCTTATGAAGACGACGAGGTAAGTTGCTAGAAACTACAAGCAAAAGTAAGTCGTCTGATGAATGGTTTTGCAGGACGACGAGGTCAGTGAGAACGAGGAAGCTGATGAAGATCAACTTGCCAACGATCAGTTCTGCGCCAACATGATTGAAGAGCCGGGCAAAGACAGTGGATGCACTGCTGTGGTATCGTTGTTGCACGGACGGGACCTATACGTAGCCAATGCAGGCGATTCCCGCTGTGTCATCTCGCGCAATGGCAAGGCTATTGAGATGAGTCTAGACCACAAGCCCGAGGACGACGAAGAGTCTGCTCGCATTGTCAAGGCTGGGGGGCGAGTCACACTTGATGGGCGCGTCAACGGCGGGCTGAATTTGTCTCGTGCTCTTGGCGATCACGCCTATAAAATGAACCACGACCTTCCGGCTGAAGCGCAGATGATTTCGGCCCTTCCAGACATAAAAAAATTGATCATAACACCCCAGGATGAGTTTATGGTACTTGCCTGCGACGGAATTTGGAATTATATGTCTAGTGACGAGGTTGTTCAATTTGTGCGTTTGCGCCTGAAAGACGAAACAAAGAAACTATCACAAATATGCGAGGAGGTAAGTGCTGGAAGTGGACTTCGTAGTCGCAGTCTTCATGTATGTTCTTTCTTAATTTTTCACATAGCTCTTCGACAACTGCTTGGCGCCCAACACCATGGGGGATGGCACTGGTTGCGATAATATGACCGCTGTAATCGTTAAATTTAAAGAGAAGTTGCAAGACCTACCAGCCACAATCAATCCGGCCGAAACGGAAGATGTGCTTGCCAGTGCTCGTCAGCAGAAAGAACAGGCCGCTGCCACCAGCATCACCATTGAACAAAACGCACACAAACGTAGCGCCTCCCCAGATACAGCCGCCGATGCAGCGGAGAATGCCGAGACTATCAGTAAATCGAAACGTTTGAAGACTGACGATGATGCAAAAAGCGAAAAAGTCGCCACAGACGTAATTAGCAGCACACCATCAGCCGCCGCCGAGCAAAAGGAATGCGACAGTGTCAACAGTAACACAAGCAACGAGGCTGCCGTTGCCGTTTCATCTACGTAAATCCTTAAATACATCCGAAAACTATTGTAAGATTAGAAAGCGCAAAAGCGCAACGATCACCATTTCAATAACTATTTTTATTGGTCAATTATGAACCGCATTTCCAAGATTCAAAATTGCGTTCATAGAGCACAGAAATAACATGGGAAACGATCGATCGCAACGATCACCATTTCAATAACTATTTTTATTGGTCAATTATGAACCGCATTTCCAAGATTCAAAATTGCGTTCATAGAGCACAGAAATAACATGGGAAAATTTTTTTCAATGTTCTTAAATGCGAGTGCATCGAAAAAATGTGTGTACATTTAGGTATAAATGTGTACACAAATGTTTTAATAATACTTTTATATATATATATATTATTTTCTTTTTTTGTATACTGTAACATCATTCATTTAACGTAAAAAAATAAATCATCCAGCGGCATATTCATAGAAATTTTCCTTTTTTGTGTTTTCAAATAAATTACTTAGTCATACAAGCATGTCTTTATCGTACATTATATTTAAAATAAATGTATAATAAATAAACCTACGTGAAATTAGTAAACGCATTGCTGTCTACATATTCACTACAATTTTATAAAGTCCTATAAAATAAAAGATACATAAAAACCGTTTGGTGCCGTTTGTAACTAACTGCAGACAGTGGTGCCAAGTAATACTTGATGTCAGTGCTGCCAGTACTAGCACTTTCGTGATAATTCTGTCACGTTCAGTTTTCAGTCATTTAAAAACTGGTGATATTTTACCCGTGATTTTTCGTATTTTCCACCTGTGACTCTGCAGCACTAGTGACGAAGTAACAACTAAATAAATATTGCTCATAAAATTGAGCTTAACAAACATTATTGGTTGTGGACCGTAAACTAATAAATTGCACCTCCTTAGCATTACAGTTTTGACAATTACAATTATTTATTTGTGCTGGCCATTTTACTAAGAGATACAGAGGGACAGAAATATTTCTTGACATTTTTGTGATCTGTGCCCATATTGAAAGGGAAGAAAAATCGTCGTTGACTTGCCCTGAGTGTAGGTAGGGAGACAATTTCCATTGCTACTGAAGGACGCACACATTCGCCAAAATTGATTCGATAGTTGCGCTCGCCCCGGGCGTGAGCAACGCAAAGGAAAGCGTTTGCAAAGGCTCCCAATCGAAGGGTGGAGACGCGACGTCAGGTGTCCCTGGCACATTGGCTAGCGTTGAAATAAGCCGCGCCCTTGAGGAAAAAGTGCAGCTATCGGCAGCACCTGGTAATCAACTTGTCGTGCTACATGCCAAGGACTCCGACGTTATGTCCGGAGATCAAAAAGTGCTATTAAAAGGCCATGCCTCTCAGTACGTTAAACTTAATGTGGGCGGCCGTCTATATTACACTACAATAGGTACGCTGACCAAACACAATGACACGATGTTAAGCGCCATGTTCAGTGGTCGCATGGAGGTGCTAACGGATTCAGAGGGTAAGTATACGAATTGATTTCTAGTCTATTAAAATTTCTGACTTGTTGCGTTTGCCCTCCAGGGTGGATTTTGATTGATCGCTGCGGTAATCATTTTGGCATTATATTAAACTTTCTACGCGATGGGACCGTTCCGTTGCCGGAAACCAACAAAGAGATTGCTGAGCTACTTGCCGAAGCCAAATATTATTGCATCACCGAGCTGGCCATGTCATGCGAGCGGGCTCTCTATGCGCATCAGGAACCAAAACCCATTTGCCGCATACCGCTGATAACCTCACAAAAAGAGGAGCAACTGTTAATAAGCGCCTCCTCGAAACCGGCCGTGATACTGGTGGTGCAGCGCCAGAACAACAAGTACTCGTACACAAGCACCTCGGACGACAATTTGCTCAAGAATATCGAACTGTTTGATAAGTTATCGTTGCGTTTTAACGAGCGTATACTCTTCATTAAGGATGTGATTGGGCCGAGCGAAATATGCTGCTGGTCCTTCTACGGACATGGCAAGAAAGTGGCTGAGGTGTGCTGCACCTCCATAGTTTATGCAACAGATCGTAAGCACACGAAGGTGGAGTTTCCGGAGGCACGCATTTATGAGGAGACGCTCCAGGTGCTACTTTACGAGAATCGAAATGCTCCCGACCAGGAGCTACTACAGGCCACATCGTCTGTGCGAGCAGGTGGTGTTAGCGGCGCCAATATGCAGCAATACACCAGTGACGAGGAGGAGGAAAGAACTGGTCTGGCACGACTGCGCTCTAACAAAAGGAGTAATCCCACTTGACTTATACCACGATTTGCACTGCCCCAGATTTGATGGCAGAATTGTGGCGCTTGCAACCTCTGCTGGTTCGGTTCCTGACCTCTCGAGCAGAGGCTGGAAAACTGGGACAAGGAGCACGCCACAGTAGTTGCCATTAATTCCTTTACAACAAATACGTACACACCAACAAGCCAATATATGTATATGTATACAAAAAACAAGCACTGGAAACGTGATCATTGAAGCAAGCTAATGCCCGGCACGATAATTCTGACAAAAACAGAAATCCAAAAAAAAAAAAAAAAAAATCAAGTCGTTGCCCTTTAACTGCCTTGAGCATCTTTCCAACTACACGTAATCGAACTAATCTACTGAAAGGCCCGACCCAATTTTAGTGGGGGGGAAAATAAAGTATTAAATGTTTTATACTAACTACTGCATACATACATATGTATGTGTCTCTAATAGTGATTCATTTGTTATACATATGTATGTAAAAGATATGCCAATAGAAAAACGGATTTAATTTCAAATGATAAAGCAAGATCGTCAATTAAGACGCTAGTGGTTTTTCCATTTGTTTATAATGCGATCGTATTTAACACATGAATAAAATAAAATAATCTGTAGTGTTGTCAAATGTTCAAGAATTACAAATGTTTACTATATAACTTGTTAATTAAAATTGATTAAATTGTGAATTCTTTAAAAGTAAATAAGCGTTGGTTTTTATAATGTATACTTTACGGATATAGAAACTTATATGCAAAATAGAAACAGAAAAAACAAAGTATCAATAGATGGGTTAGTCAAAAATAAATAAAGCAACAACACCCAAATTAAATACGTTGTTTTTATGTGTTCATATAGTTAATTATATATTTAACATTAACAACCTTTCGGTCTAATTTAAAATTTTTTACCAGGAACAATTTAGTGATTATTTCTTTGAGAACTAAATTATCTCAATAAACATGCAATTTTCTTACTTTAAATATTGAATAAAATATTCCTTTAATCTTAAATCTAATATGAAAAGTTCTTCCTTCGATCTATAATGGAAGGCTAGAGTCTTAAATACCCTTAGCCCACCCATATAAAAGAAATTATATATTAATTTTGTTTTCCATTAAATTTAATTAATTATTTTTTTAATGGTGAAGTAAGTTCATCAAAATACATATACTTGTACTTAGTATAGCATATCAGTATTTCGTCATTATATTGTCTGATCTGGAATCACAACTGGTTCAAAAAAGTTGGAAGCCACTGTACGTATGTGCATCATCTCCTTGGCAACGGGAACCATTTACAAAACAAAGTGATGCTAATAACAACTTCACTATATCTTTGAACAGAAATGTCAGAGGAATTGCAAAAAGCTGGACTTTATATTGACGATATCTACAGATTGCGGGTTCAGGATCCACGCATTGCCAACGAGACAAGTGAGCTGCGAGAGGAATGTTTGGAATATGCCAACAAGCTGCAGGAGTTCAAGAAACTCGGTGAGGACTTCTATAAGACAACCAGCAGTTATGCCAAGGATGTGGAAATGGAAAAGCTGCGTGCAATTGGCACACAAAACCAACTTAAGACCATGGCCATGCAGCGTCAGGCACAAGTATATCAAAACCAGTGTCAAATTCAGGAGCGTAGCATTGAATTGGAACGCTTGAAGAGTGAATATCAGTACTTACAAAGGATTGAGTCCGAACAGCAGGAGATTATTAATAACTTTTTGATGAACCAATAAAAGCGATTTTATTCAAATTTAAAACTATTGAACTAAAGCAAGGTTTTTTTTGTAACATATCAGACTGCAGAGTGCTACGTTGGTCTTGGAGCAGCTGTAAGCTTTGCGATTGCCACAACCAGCGACACCACAGAGTTGGACTGGTGGAGGAGTGCGCGCTGTTTGTGCCTGCAGCGGAAACTCGTGGTGTGGCGGAACTATTATGTATGCGCCCTCCAATGTATTTTTATAGGTGAGGGTTGGGAATGCGGGCTTCTGGCTTTGCTTGTTGCGCGCAGCAATGCGCTGCTTGCCACTCTCTTGCTTTTTTAATAAACGCTCCATTGTTTTCTGTTTATCCTTTTCGCGACGCTCGTCGGCCTGTTGTTTGCGTTTCTGTGATTTGAGAGCTGCCTTTTGGATTTCCTCGGCGGTTTGTGGCTTCTCTTTTTCACGGTAGCCGCTAGGCAATGCGATGAGCTCTTCTACAAAGCCTGCCAACGCCGGTTCGGCGTCCTGCGAGCGTTCGTACATGGCGCGTTGACGCGCCGTCATCAGCTTTGGATCCTTTATTTTCTTCAGCTCCTCATCGACATCGTCCAACTTGCCAGTCTCAATGGCATTCAGCCAGCGTTCCTCATCGCTGGACGTATCGCTGTTACGACGCTTCTTCGGCTTTTTCGCAGCGGCGTTGGGAGACGTTGAGGTTTGTTGTGGTTTCTTGTTGGAAGCAGAGGCGGGAGTTGGTCGTGTACGTAGGCTGGGAAATTCCAGGATGTTACCCTTTTTAATCGGCGTGACTGGAGATGCCGTTTGTAGGGGAGGCTGCGGCAACGGCGTCGGTGTTGAAGGCTCCACCACTTCAACCACATCATTTTTGACTGAAGGTGTTGGCGAGTCTGTGGCGAACCTAGCTGGCTTTTGGCGCTTGCTCCGTTTGGAGCGGCGATCTTAAATATGAATACGTATTAGGCATTTGAAATGGAGCAATAAACGATTCTATACCTTCCGTTTTTCCCATTTTATGTTTTAGCTTTGCATTTAGCTGCACAAATTTGATGTCTGTGAGTTGCCACTTAGTTTTACAGTGCTTGAGTTCCCGTTGAACTAGTTACTGATTCAGCTCGTGAATTGGTCACATCGACTTGGGCGCACTTTCAAAACAGCAGCACAAGTCCGTTATTGCTGTTTAAGATAACAATTTCTTTAAAGTAATCAAAACTAATTAGGAAGACGGAACGCCGCTTGACTTTTGTGTTCAAGATTTGATTTAGAGGAACTGTTTTGTTCACTGGCAGCTGTTTTAAATAGTGCGATATATGTATTAACTCACAACAGAAATGCGGGTATTCAAAAGATCTGTTGTGAACAGAACTTATCATCTTTACTTTTCTTAAATTGTCATGAAATTCAGGAAAATAAGCAATGTATTAATTCCTTTTCGGTATTTTTAGACGTATGCGTCCTAACTCATCGAAAATTACAACAATAAACGGAAGATTTGCAGAATTCCGCTAAAATATGAATGGAGTCTAGCAACTAAAAAACGAAGTTGATCATTTAAATATTTAAATTGTTAAAGAATTTTGTTCTTTAGCGGCGGACTAAGGGAATTTTAAAGAGGGTAAGCGACTGCATACAAGGAAGATACGCACATACTATACAAGTATATGAAGGTAAGTGTTTGCAAATAAGTTTGTATTTTATCTCGAAGACATGTTGTTGAATGTTTAATTGCCATAACATTTTTGAAATAACATACCTTTTTTTTACTAATTCGTATTTTAGCACCTTTATTAAATATGCATTCAATTTTCTTTACAATTGCACATGAGGAAGAGAAAGCAACCAAGAAAATTTGGTTGGTACTTAAAGGATAATGAACACGACTTAAAATTAGGGGAATTTGTGGTACTTAGTTTAATACTTAATTCGCAGTTCTCATGCATGTCAGCGACACACACACTCAGTTTATTGTCTCGGATGAATCATATTCGGAGCTACCATAATTTTGACACTGGAATGTTGGGCATAATGGGTGGTAGATGATTTCCACAGCGTGGAAAATTGGATGGCACGGGAGGCAGATCCTTTAACGTGCCCACTTGAAAGACCAAGTTCATTCCGATAACGATGTGGTACTGGAAGTGACAGTGGAACAGCCAGAATCCAGGGTTATCGGCTCTAAAGCGCAATACGGCATAGCCGTTGTTAGGGACAGCCACAGTGTCCTTGAGGGACGGCTTCAGATATTTTCGTTCCAGCATGCCACGCTGATCCAGGTCAAGTGCATGTTTCAGATTCATGCGTTTATTGTCCTCGTCCGGTGAACGGCCCAGGCCGAGCACGTAAAACGAGGTGCCGTGCAAGTGGAAGGGATGGCTTATGTTGATTTGTTGCACCTCGTCCACCAGTACTACCTCCACAATCGCGTTCAGTGGGATGTCAATCTTGTGCGTACACTGACAGTTCTCGCCACAGTTCGCTGGTCGGTTGTCGCCATTGCAATAATATTCCTCGGGAATGTCCTTGTACTGGGAGAGCATAGGCGAGGGCGGCGAGATGTACGACACTTCGTCGATGAGCGAGATCAGATGGTCGGCATCGGAAGCGACTACATAGTAAAATGGTAGGACTTAGTTCATTCGGTTATATTTGACGCTAAGGAATGACAAAATACATATGTATGTTCAATGCTTTGTTTGCTCAGCAAGAGCTGATCTCGGGCGCACTTGCGAGTTGCTTCTGTTGCTGCTCGAAGGCAAAGTTTTCGCTTTACAGTTTTATTATAAAAATTTACAAGGAAAATTACAAAGAGAAAACACATACATGCATATTAAACATAGCTAGGTTCACAAACATACATACAGTTGAAGCCTACGCATAGATACAAAAGATTGACAAAGCCGGGAGATATCACCACTCCAAACATTGAGCACAATGGTTCAAAATTAAATAGGCGTTTTACTATGTACGAGCATATACGATAAATTAGTCTTACTCAAGCTTAAGTAAACAGTTAATAAATACATAAAACATACAATTTAGAGCGGTTATTACTTAGTATTCTAGGGCTGGCTAGTACCACGTGACGGGCGGCACATGATCGCCACATCGCGGGAATTTCGGCGGTACGGGTGGCAGGTCGGCTTTTGTGCCGATATGAAATACCAGATTCATACCGATTACAATATGGAACAGGAAATGACAGTGAAAGAGCCAATAGCCGGGATTGTCGGCACGAAACCGCATTACCACATAACCGTTGTTCGGCACCGCTATCGTATCCTTAAGCGGCGGCTTCGAAAAATCACGCTCTAGCATACCCATGCGATCCAGTTCCAGGGCGTGCTTCAGATTAATCTTCTTGATGGACTTGTCTGGTGAACGACCCAGTCCGACCACATAAAAGGCGGTGCCGTGTAAATGGAACGGATGGCTCAGGTTCACCTGCTGGACCTCGTCGACTAGAACGACCTCGACAATGGCTCCCAATGGTATGTCGACCGTGTGCGTGCACTCGCAGTTGGGTCCACAATTGGGCGGCCGATTGTCGCCGTTGCAAAAGTATTCGGGCGGTATGTCGTCTATTTGGGATAGTGGTGGTGCCGGCGGTGATATGTAGGAGATTTCATCGACCAGTGAGATCAGATGATCACCGCTAGGCACAACTGTGGGTGTGTTCGAGTTGATCGATTGATTGATTGGCCGAAGCATAAGCACAGTAGTTATAGGCGCAAAAATACATAAGTACGAGTACATACGAGTATATGAAAAGTATAGTAATTAATATTAATGTTAGTTAAGCGGGAGTCAAGCCACAATGGGTTAGTTGACATTGACAAAACTACTTGGCATGTGCGCGTACATACCCAAATATCTGTTGTATGTGTTGGGTATAAAGAGGTTTTTCGGCTCGTAGACATAAAATCTGAAAGGTAAGAAGATTTTCACATCGGGGCGCTCTACCAGAACACCTTTGTCGACTTTCTTGGCATTCTTCAAGTTCGAGACGCAAACAGCGTCCGCCCGTTTGCGATCACAAATGGCGTCCAGTGGGTTGAGAATCTGTGAATATGGAACAGATTATAGTTCAATTATTGTCCATAGCAAATTATGTGTCACATCCTTCGACTGTAGGGCTTAAAAAAAACCTGGAACAAGAATTTTACACACATTACAATACTTAGTATATAGAGGTTCTGAAATTGTGAATCACATATATGTATATACAGTTGCTTGTTTGCGGATATACGAGCATGGTGTGGAGTGCACAAAAGATGGTGAGGTACCATTTAAATACCATTTAAATATTCAATATTTTATTTTAATTTATTTAAACAATTAACATTAAAATTAACGGTAGTTATGTGGCTTTGTCTTGGAAAAACTTTGCAAGTCTACAATTGAATTTCTCAGAGTATCTATCTATCGGTTCGTTCTAAAATCTACAAATTGTCAAATGATTGTTATACATTATGGAGCAATTCTTCCAATTCTTTTGGGGGGGATTACCGTATTTCAGCTATGAAATATGACTGTGGCAAGTCGGTTTCATCAGGTGTTCTTTAAAAATATTACATATCTTTTTATTTTATACATTTTAACATTGTATGTACATTAACATTATTTATAGTTTATATACTTCATTTAATTCATTTATTTATATAATTTACACAAATTGGAACACACAAAAAGCTACTAGGGAGGCAAATTTTTGTACATATGTATAGGCATTTGGAAAAAATACAATACTTGTAGAAGAATCAAAATTTTTAGTGATCAATTGCATAAAATGGCTTTGTCAATGCGGAGCGATTTCGAGCCAACAATCTTCCACTAATGGGAATTATTGAGAGCTCGAAATGCTCGCGGACATTCGAATCAAATAGATTGTGCGGGATGGGGTACATTTTTGTTTAAATAAAAAAAATAGAGTGTATAACATACATATTTATGACTGGTGTTCATTTCGAGGCTGCCATTTTCTCCAACTTTGGGGGGAGTGGTTTGGTGGTTGTGCAAAGCGATAGCAGAGCTTAAAAGGATTTTGGGGAGCGCAGTGGTTTGTGTTGGCAAGTTTACGCGAAACAATAAAATATTGTCGCTGTTGTAGTTGTTGCTGGTTCTGTGCTAGGTGCAGTTTATATGTATGTATGTACAAGAAATACTAATCTATTATACAGACGCTGTCTCTTAAACTTTGTACAAAGTGTTCATTCAGTTGGTAGGTCTTGCTGCTTTTTGTTTTGTTTTTCTGTTTTGTTTTTGTTTTTTGCAATAAGGCAAAAGGATTTCTGTTTTTTTTTTGTTACCGTCTAGCTTAATTAATGGGTATGGGTGGCGTGTGATCACCGCATGTTGGGAAACCTGGCGGCACGGGCGGCAAGTCGGCGTTTGTGCCGACCTGCAATATCAGATTCATACCGATAACGATGTGGAATAGGAAGTGACAATGGAAGAGCCAGAAACCTGCAAAGGCAAAGCTCGTTATCTTTGGCTGCTTAAGTTATTTAGAGTTCTCGTCTTACCGGGATTGTCGGCTCTGAAACGTAATACCACATAGCCATTGTTGGGTACCGCAATAGTGTCCTTCGCTGGCGGCAGATTGTACTGTCTGTGGAGAAGACCGCGTCTGTCCAAATCTAGAGCGTGTTTCAAGTTGATTTTCTTCACAGTAGTGTCTGGAGAACGACCAATACCAATGACATTAAAGCCGTAGCCGTGCAAATGGAACGGATGCGACAAGTTTGGTTGTTGTACTGAAAAGAGGATAGAAAGATAACGTAGATTTGAAAAGGTAACTATGGTTATAAAAAACACGATTTCGTGATTTAAGAAAATTACGCATTGATTTTCCAAAGAAAGAAAGAAACTGGCAAAATTAATATATTTATGCGCAAATATAATGCATTTTTTTTTTGGGTTTGAGGCAAAATCGAGCATAGGATTTTTTATATTTCTTAACTTTTGAAACTGAGAAACTTTTGTTAAATTTTTTTAAACTGCTTTCACAAAAGTTTACCATTTCCTTTATTTATGTATTCTGTATAGCTCTGTAGTTAATGCATACAGCCGTAAAATAATTGACTTTTTTATGAAAATATAAATTGGTTGTTATATTTCCCTCTCATTGAGTGCTTTAAATAAGAGCTATGAACATGATTTAAAGTACTAAGAACATGTGAGTATATGGGCCTGATTTCAGTTATTCAAATCAAAATTAAAAAGCTATCCATATAAGCTATCATATATGAAATATGTATGTTTGTTTGATATATAAAACAAAGAATCGCAGAGCTTAAATAGAATCGACAGAAGAGCTGTAAAACGAAAATGTAATTTCTTCAATAAATGCTTGAAATATAATGCATTGGAAGTGGAGAACTAGCAAAAGAGTTTTGAAAGTTTTTGAAACTATGACAGAAGAGCTGTAAAACGAATATGTAATTTCTTCAATAAATGCTTGAAATATAATGCATTGGAAGTGGAGAACTAGCAAAAGAGTTTTGAAAGTTTTTGAGACCATGACATACAAAAAATCGATTAAAACTAATTTAAGATTTAGGAAAAATCGTAAGTATAATCGGAGTATGTTTCGAATATTTCTGATTTCCCACTTTACTTACCTTCATCAACCAAAACGACTTCGACAATCGCATTGAGCGGTATATCGATCTTGTGCGTGCACATACAGTTGGGACCACAGTCGGCGGGTCGGTTATCGCCATTGCAGAACTGTTCGGGATTGATGTCGTTGTACTGGGAGGTGAGTGGGGCTGGAGCAGACAGGTAGGAGATCTCATCGATAAGCGAGATGACATGATCGCCCGTGGGTGCCACTGAAATATTTAAATACTTTGATTAAATCTGATACTTCTAGATGCAAGCGCTCTGCCATTGCTTACCCAGGAATCGATTGTAGGTGTTCGGCTGGAAGAGATCCTCGGCACGATAGACGAAGAAGCGGAAGGGCAAAAAGATCTTTACATCTGGCTTCTCTGCTAGAATTCCACGATCGATCTCTTGAGCGTTTTTCAATTGACTGACACAGACGGCGTCGTTGCGTTGTCGGTTACATTGTGCGTCCAGAGGGTTCATGACCTTTGCATTTGCAGTTTGTCAAGATTTTTGTTTTTTAAAGGTGGGTTTTGTTTTTGGTGTTTATATACAAGTGCGGAGGGACAACGTCAGAGTTGTGTTGATATAGTACATATTGCAGATTTGTTTAATACAGATTGTATTCGTGTGTGGAAGAAGATACAGAATCACGATTAGCTTTTCTGAGGTTTTTAAAGACCTAATTGTATTTAGTAAGAATTAGTTGCAAGTGCAATAGAGGAGTATTTTCTTAATATTTACATATTTACAATCTATTTACAATATGTTTTTGAAGTTAGAAAAGTTACTACTTACGATATAGAAGTGTTTTATGAGAGATCAGAGAGTACGATCTCGAGCAGTAGTTTATGAACACATTAACCTTCTTGAAGAAACATTTATATTTTTCTACCTACAGATCATTGCTTCTTTGCTTTAACTTTACAGTGAAATAGAAATAATCTTCACAGTTACTTATCGTTTTACCGTTCCACTTCACTTCGAATAATTTATGAAAAACTCCGAGAAAGAACTCTTCTTTAAGATCTTTGGATTTACTTTTATAATGTTTTATCTCAAATTAAGGGCTTGTTACGGTTTTTGAATAAAATAAAAATAGTTTCTAGTCAAAAATATTGATTGGTTTCGAATTTTGACTTGAATGCAGTCCGTTTGAAAAGAATTCCGTTTGCGGAACTAAGCAAATTCTAGTAATGGACATAACCGTTTTGATTAAAAAATAATTTTCTCATTATTCGTGCCAAAGAGTTACTAAACTCTGCCATCAGCTTAATGGAATACGCAAATACTCATATCACTGTATTAGTAGTAGAACTAAAGTTAAAATTCATATACTCGACTTCACACATAGATGACGGAGATATACTCGTATGTATGAGCATATTTATTAGAACTAATGACAACTGGAACTTACCACACCCTGTGGAATGCCCACATCGTAGGTTGGTGGCTGCGATGCTGGCTGATAGGGACCGCGGGCGTAGCGCAGAATGGCCAGTTGCTGGGCACGTCTGATGCCGCATTCGCCGAGACCACGCAATTGAATCCAATAGGCACCAACGGGCTGATCGGCGGTGATAACGAAATCGTAACGTTCGCCTGCAAATACACCAGTCACAAGAAATAAACAAATAGTTTAGCCCGAGACCAAATTTACTCGTCGTTTGTGGGAAGCATTAAGTTGTTCGACGATTGTACGAGGAATGCCCGCGGCGACAAAATAAAAAAATAAAAAACAGACAAAGTTGTAAGGTTGGCAACAGATGTTGCTGCCGTTTCGGCTTACGAATCTATTAGCTGTTACTGATTTGACCCTGAGTGGAGTGCTGTTAGCATCGAACTAATTTTAATTATTTGCTGTCTCTGGCTAGTTGCCTGGTCCCCCGATTGCCTTGTTGGCTCAGCTGGGCTTCTGTGGTTTTCAGTGTTTATGCAGATTTGTGTCGAACAAAATGACTCTAAATAATGACTATGCACTACCAGGTTATGACTACTGTCGCTGTTGTTGCTTTCGGCTTGATTATATCATTAACATTGAGTAGTGCCGGCCAGCATAGTCGTTCGTCGACGTTCGCCGACACTCTGATTGGACTTGACCTAAGCGCTTGGTTTTTCAAGTGGTGAGTAGGAATGCAGAACGATTCTTGGGCGTTAAAAGTGAACGGCTGCCTTGATGTATGCTCACTTGAATTTTGACAAGTAGTTATTAGTCGCATTATATGGTAAATATTACATACATACAAAATATACACATGTATGTATAATTAATAGTCATTCAAAATGTATTTCAAGAATTTTTCACGAACTACTTTTGTTTCTGAAACAGCTCATACTACTTATATTATCTTTTCAAGCCCTTTAATATAAAATCGTATAACAATTTCATTATTTTATGTTGCGTACTTGACTTTTGGTTCGATATACATATAAAATAATACGAGTAAGGAAACTTGGTCTCCAAATAAATAAAGTAATTTTAAACTCCGTGCTTAGTTTAATTAGCTGCTGTGGTTCAATGTTTTCGATGTTCATACGGATTGATGAACAAGTCTACGCCAAAGATAGTGGCCATCTATTCCTATTCCTTTTTTTCTAATAATGCGATTAACATATTTTCAAGAGCTTCATATATCTGCAATATAATATTCTGATACTACATTTTGCAATCAGTTTTCTGTTGGCAAATTGAGCCGTTGTCCATTCCATTCCCTTCTTTTGCCTCATTTCCATAAGCATGTAACTAACTGCAGATAAATATTATTACAAGCTATTTTAAACTAAACTTTAGAATGTTAATGCGACAAAGATAATAATCGCTTTTCCTAATGAGACTCATACCAACTGAATATTAGCTTTAATTGTTATGCTGCTGAATTGATAGTTTGTTCGTTCTATTCCTCTCATTCATTTCCATAAACGTGTAACTACATATTAACAAGAGTTTTGAAAATTACATGCTGCCCTGAATGCTCTTAGAATGTAAGTTGGTTGACAACTCGTGCAGGTGGCGATCTGCACGGTACAGTACCTGAGAACGAAATGATCGTGTTGACATCAACCGGATGCACTGGCTCGCCATCTGTCGCAATCACTGTCATTCCGTGTCCCTCGATTGTGACTTGGGCCGGACACACGGAGGCGAAGGCATTGATCATGCGGAAGCGATAGCGACGACCGGGTGTGATCGTGAATATCTCAAGTGGTGTGTTAGTCATGAAGCCGGTGTTGGGGTCACGGAACTGGCCCTTGCCGTTGATCAGCATCGACTCGGGATCCTGGCCTGTGTTGACAGCCAAACGTCCGGGATAGCGTTCGGCAGCATCCTCATGCAACCAATCGCTAATGAGCATAATGTGCGTGGTCAGATCGAAGTCGTACAGATGCGAGTTTGGATCACGGGACGGCGGCTGACGGACAATAACGCTGCCATACAAACCGTCCAGTTTTTGCAGACCAGTGTGAGAGTGCCAGAAATGGGTACCCGCATTGCCCGTCCACTGGTAGCGGAAGGTGTTGCCCTGCTGGATGGGACATTGGGTGACGAAAGGCACACCATCGTAGTACTGCGAGCCACGCTGCCAAATGCCATGCCAGTGAATGGTCACCTCCATGCCCTCCATATGATTCTCCACATCAATGACAACCTTGTCGTTCTCGCACACCTGAATACTGGGGCCGGGTATCATACGATTTGCAGTGAGAATGCCACGTTCCACTCCATCGGCCAACACGCACTGACAGTGACTCCAGACCGTGTTGGTGGCGTTAGGTGTGCACACCTGGCAGGCGCTGTAAGAGAGAACATTTAAGAACGATTAGCAAGTTGATCGGAGCCATGAGTTCTTTTATGACACACGTCAAGACTTATCTACTTATAGTTCTGATTAATAGTATTCAATTTAAAGCTTAGATATTAATTCATTCAAACGCTCAGTTCGTAAAGAGTTATGAACAATTTTCGGTATATATTGAACTTATCTTCAAGAAAAAAATAAAACAAAAGTCACAACTAAAATATGTAGCTTTCCACTAACATTATAAAATAAAAGTTTAAAGGAGATGCGTTTAAAACGGTTTGAAAATACATAGACCTAGCATCTTAAATTTAACTCTCCTTTTACTTCTCTTTTTTCTCAACTAGGTTTGTCCTTGCATTTAAGTCTTAATGCCAAAATAGCCCCTACAGCTGCAAGACCCTTAGCCGACGTAATTGAGAAATATTTTCGCAGTTCAGTTAGAAGAGAAGGCATACATATGTATGTATTGGTACATATTAATTATTAGCTTCATAATAATAATGTCTCAGCAATAAGAGGTAAGAGGAGATCTTGCTTTATATATACATAAAATACAATTTATTTTGGTTAGGAATTATTTGCTTGATTGTAGGAGCTAATGTTTTCGTGCGAAAAAGTTGAAAAAGTTGTATACTATATCTGATTTGTAATTAGAAAGCGTTGTATTTGTTATAATTCAATTTTTAAGGAACAGCTTAAAACAATACATTTTGTAGTTATAAATAGTATTCACTTCTATAAATGCCTAAAAGTTTTAGCTTAAATTACTTTTTTGTTTTTACTATAATTAGTTATATTAGGTAATTTTGTGTGTTTGTTCTAAAACAACAAATTTATAATTTTTCTGGCATAAATAGCTTTTCCCACCCTATATTGTTTTGTAGAAAATTAACACGAGACTGCCCGACTATTTGGTTTATTATTCCGTTGCCGACCAATCCCCCTTCCAATCTCTGGCACTTATGTGCTTGTGTCTGTGAAATGTCAGACACCGGCGGCTGGCTGCGGCCACCTGCACACGCGGCGTATACGCAATGAGCCGTTAAATCGTTCATAATAATTTTCTGTCATTTTCGAGCAAGTCGAGCGTGCTGCACAAACACCTCGGGTGCATTTTGTGTTGATGGTTTTTGGTTGTATTTATTTTTTCTCTCATTTTCTCTCGCTTTTCGCGCTTGGTAAATGAAAATCTGCAATGGCAGCTGCGACAACTGCAGGAAGTACACAATATTAATGCGCGGATGCAAATTATAATAAATAAAATTATGCAAAATTGTTGCCAACATTTTTATTGCAGTAGTTTGTTTTGCCTGTTTCAGTGCATGCTTAAATTGTGTGGTCATTTTTCTCTTGTTTTTATTGATGCAAATCAGCAAAGCAATTGGGCAATTCAAGATCAACAAGCCAGGGAATAAACTGCCCATATACATATGTTTATCGTATTATACAATTCTTTTCGATTTAAACTTATATAAGAACTTAAAAACACGGTTTTATCTCCATAAAAAAATTGTCTGATTGAAATAGGCTACTGAAATCAAAGGGAATTTATATCGGTATTAAGTTGTTTGCTGCACTTTTAAAACCTCAATCATCAACAACAACTGTCATCTTGAATTAAACCTGCGGGCTAAGTCTGAGAAGGCTGTAGGATATTTCAACAGCGTTGGTTTAAATGGATATAAGATTAAGAGAATGTTGAAAATTATGCCTTTTAAAAAGTAAAAAGCAAAGCTATTTTTTAAACGAAAAAACATTTGTCGTTTAATTAAGTGTTAATTGCCTATAAGTAAAATAAAAATTTTACAAAAATAACCAATCTAAAATCTAGAAATTATCTCATCTTGAATGTATTATTCGCCCAAATTACGAAGCGAAGTTTTTCTGGGGTAAAACTTGACCCCAAATTATCCAAAATCCAATTATAAATGGCTCCTAAAACTTCAACAAGTATAAAAATTATAAATGTTTTAAATTAAACGTTGATTTTTGAGTTACAAAGTATTCAAGTTATATTTATTTTAAAAGGAACTTGATCAATTTTTTATGAAAATCTATACAACATTTACTCAGCCTATTAATTGAAATAAATAAAAATATTAAACTCTTCTGGAGGAGTGCAAAAAAAAAAGAATAAAATTATTTAGTGAAAAATATATAACAATTGCTCAATTTATAGATCGATTTAATTCAAGCATGTATTATAAAAATGATTGTTATATTTCTTAAATATACACTTTACTATTAAAAAAATGAATTAATAAAAAACAGTTCCCGAAGCGATAATATGTTGACACTTGATAGTTTAAATAAGCCATTTACTAAGACTTTAAAGAATTAATCTGTTAAATGGTGTGCCACTTATTACAATTTAAAATAATGCAAAAAATGTTAAGTCCGTAATACTCGTGTAGTAAGTAAATCCACAATTAGCCTGCCATTTGCAACATGTGTATTTGTAATTTTTTTGTGCCCGTTTAAGGTGTTAATTTATCTTCCTGCTCTGCCCTGTACTGAAAAAAAATTGTATTTGCTTTTTTGTTTTTGCATTGCTCCCTGTAATGAAATGTGAATGCACTGAGTTGTTCACGGAATATTAGGCGAGTGTTGCGCATGTGTGCCTGCGACTGTGCATTCGAACGAGGTTGTCGAACTGGTCGCGTCTATTTCAAAGCTTTGTGAAAAAGGCGGCGCTACTTGTCGTATACTTGATACGGTTTATTAAGCGCACTGGCACACTCACACACTCACACACAAACATATATACATTCGTATACACACATACAGTCGCGTGCATAATGTAAATAAAGCCGGAGCTGCTTTTTGTTTACCTCTGGTGCCGCAGAAACGGGTAACAGTGGCACACATCTGAGTTGAGACTTTTTGCTCAGCTTCGCTTGTTTGTTTGCATGTCGACAATAATGGCGTGGGAATAATCAGTATACGTATACTTGTATGAACTTAACACTTGCACTCAGACCCGATCGGACTTTCTGCCACTCTTCCTGCTGCTGTCGCACTCACAACTTCAATCATGACGTCTATATATCTTTGTCATATTAATTCTGCACTAGCTGTCAATGTCTGAGAGGCTGTGTTCGAGACGAGTGGCATTGCTTGTTATGTCACGTTCACTGGTGCCCCATTCAGATGTGTCTGTTTCTCGTCTTTCTGTCTGCCTGCCTGCCGGTTCGCCTATTCGTCTGTCAGGTGCTCATCTGATTGCTTTCGAATTTATTTATTGAATGAGTGGCTGGTGTTTGGTTTTTGTGGCTACGGGCGCTCGCTCGTGATTTGATTATGAAAATAATAAATTTTTAATGTCATACTTCCGCGACGATTGGGACGTCTGCAACACTTAACAAAAAAGGCACTGAGTAGTCAGTCCTCTAATTTGGAACATCCTCATGAAAATACAACTGAATGCAGCTTCACTAAGAAAATAACATTTAAAAAAACTATAAATATTCGATTTATAATGCTTGGCTATTTCTCAAAATAACTATGTAAATATTTTCTGCTAAGAAATTTGTGCTAAAGCGTTTTTAGTTTTTTAAGCGAACTTTTCATTGGAGTTTTTATTTGTCCATTATACCTATTTGCCGAAGGATTAAGTCATATACTCATATGTATAAACACAATACTAAACATCTTCATCATCAACATCATCAGCAAAGGAGAACATTTTTGCCTTTGCATAGCTGTGCATTTTTTGGGTCAGCATGTGGCCTCTTTAAATCCATGAAAATGAAGTAGCTCCTAGGTTTCAGGGTGAAATAAACACTCTTTTGAAAATTTTGAAAAGCATCTTTATATCCTAATATTGAAACATTTTTCTAGAATAAGGAATACTTGAACTTTTGAATGGAAGTTCTAAAATCTGAAACATATAATAGTTGGCTGTTTACTTACGCGCCCAGTACGGTGTAGTACTCCAATGTGAAATGGTAGTAGCAGATTCTCGGAGGTTCTCCTTCACGGCAGGCGCGGGCGCACTCATCGGGAGCCGAGAGAGCGGGATTGCGTCGCAGCTCGGCGGTGGCGCTCGTCGAGAAGTCCAAGTGGCGGAATGGAGACTTAGGATTGGGATTAACAACAGTTCCGGTGATTTTATTGGCCGGATAGCGCGCCGAGCTGGGCAAGTTGCCGCGGGAGTTTAGGTAGCCACTGCCGGCGGTGAGGGAGGGCCCTCCGCCTGCAGGCAAACCGCTGCCCAGACTGTTGCTATTGAGAGGCACGGGGCGTGGTATGCTTGCCCCTAGTGATGGGTGCGTCTGGACGAGGCCGTGTGTGGCCGAAAAGAAGGGCGAGTCGAAGGGCGTCGAACTGCTGGGCGCGGCCACATGCTGTTGCCAATAGGAGCCGGCTGGCGTCTGGTCCGGCTGTTTGTCTGAAAAAACAAAAGCGATACAAAACGATTTTTAATTTGTTTTCGCACTGCTTATTGGTTTTCAATTCAGTTTTCTGCAAGGGGCACGTCATAAAAATTGTTACTAAGTACGTGTTAAATTAAGTGCAAAATGCGGTTGCCAGCTTGAGGCTTGTGCAATCGTCAGAGTTTGGTCGACAAGACGGCGATGACGCAATGCACCACATTGAGCTCATTTGGAGCTGCAAATGAAGTGGCGAACTTAGCTGTTTGCTTTGTGTTTGTGGCAGAACCGAGCAGCTTCGGCAAATTTAATGAAATAAAAAATCGGTTGCCTTGATTGTTTTGATTTCTTATTAATTTCTGCCAAAGTGCCAATCACGCGGGCGGCAAATTGTGGGGCAGCTACGTTTATTACCGTTTGCTGCCAGCTTTGTATGTGTGTTTAATAAAGTACGTGCATTGAATGGCTCACAATGCTATTTTCTTTTAACAAAGCAGCGCAACGAAAGGGAAATTTCAAAATATCATTTGCCTTTTGTTACGCCTCCAATTGTTCCCCATATATACTTGTATATAATAGTTATTGTGCGAACACCTGCCAGAGCCGAATTCCATTGCCCATTTATTTATGCATTATTTGATTAGTCGAATAATTTATTTTTATTTTGATCTCAATTCAAAGAATTTCCAATTGATTCGGCAATATGTAAAAAAAAATCAAAAGACTTAAGCCACAAACTTGAGCATATTCTACTTTGAATATTCGTATTATGTTGCGAATGAGCATGAAGAAGTAATTGAGATTATTTCAGTGCTATTCTAAGCGATTTTATTTATTTGTTCACTTGAATCCGTCGATAGTTCTATTTTTCTTATATTTTTCTTGTCTTGTATCGATATTTTTTAATTAGATACATTTTAAGCAATTAAAGAAATATCCAACGTATGGATAAATACATATTATTTATGCCCATATTAGTTGTCAAGGCTATCAGGCTGTTCGGTCTATGACCAGAATGTCCATTTACCACAAATCCATATGATTTGCATTCAGTTCACAAACATCAGAACAATCCTACGGAGTCGATGATCAGTGTAATTACTGCCACAAGAGAACCTTGATTAAATCAGCGAGCTGGTGCTGATTTTCCATTTCCATTACGAGTGCAGCGGCTCATAAATAAAACAACAATACCAACATCAACAACCAACGCCAAATGCGCAACATTTCCGAATAACAAAATTTAGCAAATCAATCAAGAAAACCGCACACAGTGCACGGTCAAGCGAATTTCCACTTTGCCAGTCCCAAATTCGCAGTCAACTGCCGACAGACTGCCACACCGGACTGACAATTGGACACGCCAAGATTTTGTTCAAATCAGTTTTACATTTACGGAAAATTGTCAATTAGGCGCACGACTTTATATGCGAATTGCATAGAGACCGAAATTTAAATTTGCACAGCGGCGACAGATTTAGCCATATTTGTATTGCAACTATTTTGAGAATTCTCATTAGCGGTGTGAAAAATGTCGAGCATAGAATTTTTCACGCTGGCACTTGAAAACAAAAACATGCATATATATATATATATATATATATATATATGTATATGTACTACATGTTTGAATATTTATGAGTAGTTCAAAAAGTAAACCTTTTAAGTTATACAAATCCATTACCCTTTCTTCGATCACAAAAAGTACAGTTATTATTATGTTGCATTGAAAATTCGAAAATTTCGCCAACAGATAATGGCAAAATAAGTTTTCAGTTTACTTTTAATAATTACAAACCCATAAGTAAAGGAACTTTGTATGTGTTATCTTTTAAAATTGTTTATGGAAAATGTAAATGTATATGTGAAAAGAAATTTTGTATTTTATTTTATTGTTTTTTTTTTGGCTGTACTTCCTTTAATATTATTGCATAATAGTTCTAATACTAATAAATAATTGCAGATAACATATACCTAAGCATAGGAAACTCGTAAAGGACAAATGCCTAAATATTTACGTGAAATAATAAATTGATATTTAGGTGCCAATTAATTTCTAAAGTAACTGACTCGTCTGACTAATCTTAGGATGTATAACTCGTCCTAACTTTAGAATGTTCTTAAAAATTCTACAACGCTACTAGTAGTCAGAAAATAAATCTTTGGTAATATCAATTGCTAACTCCTTTTATTCTAATGAATGTTCAATTAAAGTAATTTTTAACACAAAATGTAGGCCTAACCATTAACCCTTAATGCTCTCCTTATCATACACATTACATACATTTAGATATGATAATACTTAAATAGCTACAATTACATATGTATTTAAATGTTATTATAAATATAAGACTCATTATCCTGTACGTACTATGAGCTGAAGATCAAAAGCTATTGTTTCGATAAATTGTTGGTTAGCATTTAATTTGTAATTATATGTTTGCTCTACTAAATAAATAAACAATTCAATGAAATTTAAATATAAATATGAATGCACCATAATACTGTACAATATTAAGTAAGTAAGGAATATATAGTACGTATACGAGGCGCTTAGTCTGATCGGATGTCAGCAATATAAATAAATCACCCAGGAAGTCTTCGACTATTAACTATCGAAAAAATTAGATATCTACAGTTTCCCGATGACGTGCCGTTACTGCAACTCGTGTGTGTATTATTGCGCAATGGATTATTTTGCATGTCTTCTACATAATACAACTGTGCAGATACACATATGTCTGCTTATACTTGTAGTATATAACTCCTCTGTCTTTTGGCTATAACCTTTGCGCCCACTAAACAAACGCAATTGCCGCCTGTGTGTAATCAACCGCCAACAGCTGCGGCTTTTGCCCACAGAGCGGCTATGTGTTTCACATTAACCGCAGCCAACCAAGAGTTGGAAAATGTTTAGAAAAATGAAAATGTTGGCTCTGGCTCAAGCAGTGTGGGCGTAACAATTGTTTTTTGTTTTACTGCGCTGGCGGATCGGACCACAAGGTGCAATTGCAATCTGTGGATGTAGACATAGTCTGGGAATTGAAATTGTACCAGGGGCAAGTGTGATGTGTGTGTGTGTGTGTGTGTGTGTGTGTGAGTGCAAGACAGAAGGTTAGATCCACAATTTGCGCGATATGTCTTGTAATACAATTTATAACATTCGGCTGTAATAACAGTAATTACCAACACATTAGCCTAATCTTATGCAATATACATCATTTCTGTTTCGGTTTCTCTTGTCGATTGTCGATTTGTTGACATTATTACGGTCACAGGGCGTGGCACAATCTCTGCCTAACATCATCCATCAAACATACACTTATCTATGTACATATATAGTACAACCAATATGCAAGATACAAGACTAGTTAACACGAATCGGAAACATGACCTAAGCTTCACCATCAAGACAATTCGAACTTCATTTGTTTAAATTCGTGCTCGACTGACCGACAGACGCTCTGCGTGTCCAATTGTTGCAAACATAAGCACAGTGGTAAGTAAAACATGCTAGTATTTATGTACGAGTGTGTGTGTGTGTATGTGTGTGTGTGTGTGTAGTATGTTAGTATGAAAATCAAGCAAAGCTTTTTATTTTAGGTTGGGTTCTTTTGTCGGCTCGGAATCTTTTTTTACACCGATTGCAATCGCGACCTTGGTTTGCTATAGATACTCATACTACATAGCACTGTATGCAGATATGTACGTATTCGAACAATACACAGCGTGGCTGCCGTTCGTGTAACTGTTATGCAAATTGACCTTTACAGTTGTTGTTGTTCTCCCGCTGCCATAACGTGGTGGTCAGCACCAACTGGTCAGCATGTTAATTATAGTCACTTCCTCTGCATCAAAAGATCCAAATTTTATTACATTATTATTTTATTACCATGCTTGGCATGCGGCATACCGGTAGTAGAACACTTCAATCTCAATTGCCGAGCGGCACGTACAGTTGTCATTTCAGATCAGAAGTAATCACACTAGCCTTTGGAATGTCCCAATAGAATGCATTTTATTGTAGTTTCTTATGAAAAGCTACATGCCGCAACCAAACATGAACTCAAAGGAACGGAATTTTATAAGTTTTATTTCAAATTTAAAAAGTGATCTTTAAACAAACGTTAATAGCTCGACAAAGTATTTGTATTTTATTTAGTGCTTAATCAAAAATAAATAATAATTAAATTAAATGGCTGGCGGTAACCTAATGCGAATGCAATATTTTATATTGATTTTTATATTTAGGGAAATGTATTCGAAATTATACAGAATTATTTAAAAATAATTTTATTTTATTTTTACAATACCGTTCGCTTAAGTCGTTTAAGATAAAAAACTAAAATAAATAGAACATGAAACAAATGCTGTTATTCAGTACTTACTAAAGTAAATAAAGCATTCAAACTTCAGCTTAAAACGAAACAAAAGTATAGGAAGACAAGAAAATATTTGTTCGTCACATTTTTATTGGAATTAGTATTCAGAACCCTAGTGAGAAATTTTTATAACCTAAGTATAGATAACCTTTCAAGTGCCGGGCTATTCCATCATCTCATTCCTTTATTAATAATTTAGCTATCGAATTTATATTACAACAATCCTAATAGTAGTGGAGTTTCCAAAATCACAAATTGCTAATAATATAGTGAAACAATTGAAAACAATGGTAATAGACCCGCGTCTTAAACACCGGGCGTTGATTTTTTTACAAGTTGTGCTGCTGTAGAAACCCATACAAGTGTAAACTCGTACATACATGTTAGTGGGTTACTTAAATGCAGGGTAGACAATGCCTGAAGAGTTGAAAACCAATCTGGTTTCAGCACGGGCCCAAATAAAGCCGCAGCTTATAAATTGTGTTTGGGTGTAAAACAAAGGCACAAATTAAATTGCAGTGTGCAGTCGTGCGAAGAAATATAATTGATACTTCTTTAAGTGTACAGCGGAGTGACGAAAACAAATCCAAAGAGTAGAATGTTGCAAAGGCACAAGTGAATTCAGTTACCACTCA